ATCCAAGAGCATCCATGTGGTTTGTAAACAGTTGCTAATCCAAATATGAATCGCATTAAATTGACTTCATTCAGAACTGTTTCAGATAGCGGAGATTGTTTCAGGTAGCGGAGATTCTTTCATTTATTTAAAACAATTACGAAAAAAAAACAATAATGAATTTGATGCGATGCAATTTAATAATATTGGCATTGAGTTTCTTACCTCGGGAATATATTAACACAAAATGGTGGAAACTGCAACAAAAAGCATAGGCCAGGAGCTAAAGTGAGTCAACAACGCTAAACTGTGAAATAATAGTTCAGAAATATTTAGCATCAGAAATATTAACACCTGCAACAATGATAATTTGCCAGGTGTTCATACTTGTTCTATAGAAGTCAAGAAACTATTTATATTTACTAAAATGGGTTTCTTTTAGCAAAATTATGGATATGAGTTGCCTGTGGTAAACTATTACAGTGTTAATGTTTAGGGTTATAGGGATTGGTTAATGCCTTTATTCCTGGTGCAAAAACAATATGACGTGTTTTCCCTCAGTAATATTTGCGTTTTGTGTGAAATTATTGATGATTGCCTGTTGTTTAAAGGCCTTTAGGCTGTAGATTAAGGGACTCACTATCCCATAATAGTTCCCTCATCCCTTTAATCATCTTTTAAACCTTTGTCTTGCTTTCAGATTACATAAATGTATTATAAGTAAGGCTGTTTGCAACCTTTAGCTTCCAAATCACCCACTTGCCTGATTGCCTTTGTCCATAAGCAACCCTTTCTCCTAATAGCGATGTTTGGACTGAATACAACCAGTTTGCTACAGGAAATGCAATATGAAATAAACTTAGATTGTATATTATGTCTGTTAATGACTACAGATCATTATTTTACATCTTAGGCCAAAATAACTTCATTTTTTAACAGTAGAACATCTACAGTGTGTTTCAATATGGGATTACATCATGCGGTAGCCTAAAATCTGCCGCCTGTGTGACTGACCAATATTCTCATTAGTGTCTTTTCAACCAAAACAAAATGAGTTTGTCCAGGACAGTTAACGTCAGTGCTGACCACCTCTTTGACGGAGACCTCCCATCAGTCTCTTTATCTGAACATTCATCATCCGATGACAGGAAACTGCTTGTCAATGATGCTGGATTTTTCTGAGCTCAGGTTTTCTTTTTGCTTAAACCAGCTCAAAAAACTAATTACAAGACACTGCACATTTTGTATGTACGTATGCATATTCCCTTCAAACTTAACGGTCCATACAGAGGATGGAATTTAGGATCCATAACTCTAAATCTCACATTGGAAGCCACGTCTCTCCATCAGTTTCCTCTCATGCCTTGTTGACCCACAGCGATTAGAGAATATATGTACGATGTTGACCTCGCTAATGAAAGTTTGACATTGATTTCTAAATAGACCATCATCGTGTTTTACTGTAGAGCACGATGCTCTCATCCTGGGGTTTGAGGCTTCAGGCAACAGTTTTCCAGCGCCTAATCCAACTCAATATGGCAGACATACTCACTCTTCATTTAAACAAACAAAAGCAGCACATAATGATCAGCCCTGCCATTATGGCCAATTGATCTGATCTGGTCCAGGGCGCGGTGGATTTATTTTCTTTTATGCCCATATAGATGTGTGTCACGGCCTCAATATGCATCACAAGCATGTGTGTGTGTCAGTCCCTATCCAAACAAATGGATGGCGGTTTGAGCCAGAGAGCCTGGAGCACTGCTTGTCCTTTAATCGCCATTTACATACCAACGGAATCATTAATTTCCAATTCCCCTATTATTTGTCACCCCCACAAACTCCCCTCTGACTTATACTTGTGTCAATGCCAGGGCCAGTCAGTGTCATCAGACCACAGGAAGTCCCGTCTCCTTTAGATAACTCATGTTTACCTTGCTGTCTTCTTTTTTATGAAGGCTCCTTGCAAGGTCAGTGTTTATTCTGGTAAACATTATGGCATGTCATGTAGTGATCAATAAGTAGTGTAAAGTCTGACCACAAATCAGATATCGTGACAGAACTGAAAGCAATAAAGCGATTGACTTACAATTACAATATCTCTTCAATAATATCCCTTATATATCTTGATTGATAAACACAAATACTGGTATTTTACCCAATACATTAACATAAGATACATATAATACATTATGTAACCAAATATGTATAGAACCTGAGTTAAGATAACTGTACATGGAGAAAACTAGTCACAAATCTAAAAATAACATTATCCTTTTTTAACTGTAACCAGAATCTTCCTAAAACAATAATCAACACTTTAATTTCCCTAAAACACCTTCCGTGTGAGCTAAAAATAATCAACATCTTACGACTAAAGGGGACATATTATGCTAATTTTAATGTTGATATAATATTTGTGCCTCTACTGTGACATGTTTCCCTGCTTTAATGTTAAAAAAGCTCTTTATTTTTCTCATTCTACCTGTGCTGCAGCACCTCTTTTCACCCTCTGTCTGAAACCAGAGTCCAGTCTGCTCTGGCCGGCTCTGTTGTGATCTATCTTGAGATTTACCTAGAGATGTCCAACCTATCACATTTAATGTATAGGGACACTAGCCAAAGGAAGCGCGAGTGTTACAGAGTGATGTCAGCAGGGTGTTGGAATGAGCTCACGCAGCTCTGCATGTGCTCTGGGTCTATCACTACAAACATTGTAAGGCCCTACAACAAGTGACTCTCGCAGGAGAAATGGCACCCAAAAAAAGTGCAAATCTCCCTGATGAGGTGGAGGAGATTAAGAAATCTCTCGACTTCTTATCAGCCGAAATCAAAACAGTCACGGCCCAGCAAAATAAAATCATGGAGCTGATGGGAGAAATACAATATCTGAAATTACAAAACATTGAAAAGGACAAAAAAATCACTTTTCTGGAGATTCGAGTGGCCGACCTCGAACAATACATCAGGATGAACAATCTGATTATCAGTGGCCTGAAGACCAAACACCGGAGCTATGCCAGGGCGGCAGCGGCCTCAGAGGACACCGCTGCCGGAGGGGGAGCCGACGCTCCGGAGGTGGACCGTGAGTTGCTGGAGCAACAGGTGCTTTGCTTTTTGGACAGCAAAGGCATATCTGTTGACAGCGGAGATATTGAGGCCTGTCATGCCCTGTGGAGCAAGAACACAACATCCACACCAGCAGTAATAATCCGTCTTTGTCCCTGTTCTTTCTTCTTGCCGTTATGCACTCCTCAGACAAGGAAGGAAACTAAAAGGGACCAATGTTTACATTAATGAACACCTTACGAAGAAGAACGCGGACATCGCAAGGAGAGCACGTATACTAAGGAAACAAAACAAGATTCAAGCAACATGGTCGACAAATTGTAACATTTTTATCAAACTAAATGGATCAACAGCAGAGATGGCAAAAGTCTCATTATCCGGGAAATCACCGAGCTGGATCAGTTTGAGGAATGAAACATCAAAATCAACATAAGGTAACTGAATAGCTACACACTGAAATGAACACACTAAGAACACCCATGATAAGCTTGGACAAAAACCACTCACCTGCTGAATATGAAAAACTGGACTTGAACTGTTTCAAATACACGGAACATAAATCACAAGACATTGAAAAGGATATTGACCCTGAAAATAATTTCTACAATAACATCCATAACCAATGTGAATACTACACAGAAGATCAACTAAAAAGAAATGGAATAATGGATGGATCAATATCAATATTACATTTTAATAGCAGATCCTCATTTCAAATGTATCAAAGATCAAACAATGTTTAAGGCAACTGGAGAAACAAGTTACAGCACTAGCAATATCGGAGACCTGGCTTAGTGAGGAGCAAGCTGACATGGTTGAAATTGAGGGATACAACATGTTTTTCACTAATAGGACACATTCTAAAGGTGGGGGGACTGCACTTTATATTAACAAAAGTTACAAAAGTAGATCTGTCAGTAATATGTCTTTCACTATAGAAAACATTATGGAATGCATAACAGTAGAAATTGAAATGAAAACATCTAAAAACCTTCTGATAAGCTGCGTGTATAGAAAACCAGGATCATGTATTGACACATTTGAGAAAAAGCTAGCTGAACTTTATAATTACACAAGCAGCAAGAAAATGCTCTTGGTATGTGGAGATTTTAACATTGATTTACTGAACCCACAAGAACACAATGCAACTACAGAATTTATTAATTCTAGGAATAGCAACAGTTTATATCCTACATTGGCTATTGCGCCAAAGTCTCCAAATCATGGAAGAGAACCGAGTAGAACTCTTCACAGGGTTAATTAAAATCGAGATGACATGATTGTCCGAGTCTTCTAGGCGACACATGAATTTGTACATTAACTTTATTAAGAGGGCTTGACAAGTAGGTACCCCCAAGTTAACAAACAGCTGGCTGGCACTGTGCCATCTTGGTACCCTCAGCAGCAACTGTTGTAAATTCCCCTTGTTTTCTTTGGTCTGCGTTGTATCGTTTGTGTTTTTTGGTCAGGCACATTTGGGGACAGCTAAGTAGCGCAGCTACGGGTCCTCGAGCTGTTTACTCATGTGCGTTTGATGACAGGACATTATTGCGGTCGCATCGACACCTACATAATTATCGTCAAAGAGAGAATGCGTTAGTGAAGAATGTGAGCATATATGCAGATCTTTAGTGTTGGTAATGTTATGAGATTGTATGCATAGTGTCCTGCTGAGTGAGTGTGTTAATTAGTCTATTGATGTCCCGTTTTTATCTGTTATGCTGTTCAGAAATGGAGCTAATGCTACCGCTAGCTAGTTAGCTAAGTAAAGCTATTCAGTGATAGTGTGTGGATGAGATGCTAACTTAGCCTTGATTAGCCATGTGTGTGTTTGCAACGTGTCTAATGTGTTTTAGCCTCAATTACAATTGCTGTTGCTTATTATTAATAACCAGAGTCTAGTTAGTTATTGTAATGTGAACCTTATTTCTATTTCTGTGCATTCTACATTCATTCATCAATCTCCATTCAACCATTCATTCATCATTCAATACTGCTACAGCTGTTGTAAGAAGCATTCAAGCTGAAATAAAGTCAGAAGACTGTATTTCCTGTCTCCGCGTCTACTCTCTAACCGGAGTGCTGTTTTTGGATGAAGCGGCTCCGGCACAAACATCACACAACATAAGATTCCCCAACATTGGTGCTTCGAGCCGGAGAGCTTCACCCACGACAGCGCCATGGATGCACAGGAAACAGCAACAGCTACGATTGGAGCTCATGGAGGAAGACAGCGACAGCTTCCAACACACCTGCAAGGCTATAAGGTCAGCTTACCACAGTCTCTCTTGCCTAATCCTACCCCCCTCCAATATGACAGTGCGCGTCAGCTGCTGTCACTTAGCCTGCAAACCGGGTTATCAGCTGAGAGTGACCCGCTACACACTGCAATTGGACGCCCTCCCTCTTACTCCTTACCAGGAGCAGCAAATAAGGCAAATTTGTGGGACATGGCACCTTTTGCTAGCAGAATGCCTGACCTGCAGAATATGTGTGTGAGGCCTCGACTGCCATCTCCGTCAGAGCAGAGCTGCTACAGTCACCAATCGCCAGAATACAGCCTCAGTGAGAACGGATCTGGCCCCCTCTCGTCACATCCACCTCCAACCCACTGACACTGGTTGGACTCACAAGCAGATAACCGCACCTTACAGCAGCAGCCATTATCCATGCAGCTGGGACAAGCCACCAAGCATCAGGATAAGCTGCCAACGACAACACTGCTGTGCACGACTACAGCGACATTCCAGTCTCAAGCCCTCCCAGCCTTCATGCCGAGTCAGAATCAGGAGAGAAGCATATTGACTCAATCTCTACCACCAACAGTTACATCTGCACGGTTGTTGGGAGCTGTTCCTAAGCCAACAGCACTTCTGGCTAGAAGCACGGTCATGTCGTTACCTATCGTCCAAGGGATGCAGGCAGCTGGTCACGTTGGCCAACAACTGCTGACAACTACAGGGTACCAGCCGTCTCACCAGCTACCAGCTACACAACAGTCAGTGGCCCAACATCCAGTTGTTATGCCTCAGCAATCTTCCTATGTGCCACACAACTGGTCTGTAGCGCCCTCACCTTATACACAGTCTGATGTCCCCCAGCAGACAGCGTATCAGTCTCTGCCTGTCCTTCCGGCACAGTATGCGTACCAACAGCCGCCAGTACCCGCCACCGAGTTACCAGCCCAGCCCGCAAGTACCCGCCGCAGCACCAAGCAATCCGCAGTTACCAGCAGCGCAAGTTGTTCCTTTGGTGGAGACGGAGGAGGCCGACCCAAAACCCTGAAGGAGAGGCTGCTTGCCCCAGGAGGACCCCCAAGAAAAAGGAAGGAAGGAAGGAAGGTTTTTTCTCCCTGAAAAAAGTCCTTCAACTTCAAGCTGAATTCTGAAGAAGACAAGAAGAGCGAGGCTGTTGAAAGGAGGAAAGCCGCCGCCAACCTCCCCCGCCGAGAGGAAAAAAACCGGGCTGAGAAAACAGATTGGGGCTGCTGCCCC